ATCAACAACCCTTCATGATAAAAACTCTCAACAAACTAGGAATAAAAGGAAACTTGGTCAACCTGATAAAGAACATCTATGAAAAACCCACAGCTAACATCATACTTAATGGTAAAAGATTGGATGCTTTTCCCCTAAGATTAGGAACATGACAAGGATATCTGCTCTCACCACCTCTGTTCAACATTATGCTGTAGGTTCTGGCCAGAGAAATGAGGTATAAAGGAAATAGAAGGCATCCAGACCAGAAAAGAAAAAGTAAAATTGTCCCTATTCACAGATGACATGATCTTGTATATAAGTCCTAATGAATCCACTAAACAATTATTAGAACTAATAAGTTCTGAAAGGTTGCAGAATTCAATATGAAATATTGAAACAATATGAAAATGATATTTTAAAAAATTCCATTCACAATAAGATCAAAAAGAATAAAATACCTAGGAATAAATGTAACAAAAGAGGTGCAAAATGTATGCTCTGAAAACTACAAAACATTGTGGAAAGAAATTAAAGATGTAAATAAATGGAAAAACATCCTATGTTCATAGATTAGCAGATTTAACATTGTTAAGATGCCAATACTCTCCAAACTGATCTACAGATTCAATGCAATCCCTATCAGAATCCTAGCTCTCTATTTTGCAAAAAAATTTTCAAGCTGATCCTAAAATTCATATGGAATTGCAAGGGACCCAGAATAGCCAAAACAATCCTGAAAAAGAACAAAGTTGGAGGACTCACACTTCCGGATTTCAAACTTACTACAAAGCAATGGTAATCAAGACTGTGGTCCTGGAACAAGGATAAACACACAGATCAATGGAGCAGACCTAAAGTCCAGAAATAAATCCTTAAACTGTGGTCAACTGATTTTCAACAAGGGTGCCAAGATCATTCAGTGGGGAAAAATATTCTCTTTAACAAATGGTACTCGGACAACTGGATAACTACATGCAAAAAAATGAAGTTAGACCCTTACCTCACATCACATACAAAAATTAACTCAAAATGTATCAAAGACTTAAATGTAAGAACTAAAACTATAAAACTCTTAGAAGAAAACATAGGGATAAATCCTCATCACCTTAGATTTGGCAAAGGATTCTTAAATATAACACCAAAAGCATAAGCAACAAATGAAAAAAAATAAATTGGACTTCATCAAAATTTAAAACTTTTGTGTCTCAAAGCACACCATCAAGAAAATGAAGAGACAACCTACAGAATGAGAGAAAATATTTGCAAACATATATCTGATAAGGAATTTGTATCTGAGTATACAGAGAATTCTTCCAACTCAATAATAAAAACCCAATCCAATTTAAAAATGAGCAAAGGATCTGAACAGACATTTCTGCAAGGAAGATATATGAACGGCCAATAAACACATGAAAAGATGCTCAAAATCATTAGTCATCTAGGAAATGCAAACCAAGTCCACAACGAGATGACACTTCACATCCATTAGGATGACTAGAATCCAAAATTCAGATAATAAGTGTCGGTGAGGATGCAGAGAGATTGTAACCGTCATACTCTGTGACATACAGAAGTCCGACTAAGGGACCTGAGCATCCACAGATTTTGGTATCTTAGAACCAAGGAGGAGAGGAGTCCTGGAACCAATCCCCTTTCGATATCTAGAAACAACTGCATAAGGTTCACTACACTCCAAGGTTTCAGGCTTCCACTAGGGGTCTTGGAACACATCCTCCACAGATAAGGGGAGACTACTGTACACAAGTAATGCATAAGTTAAGTAAAAGTCCTGTAGCCCTAAATTTGAATTGGAAGTATCAGTATAGTCCCATGATATATATACACACATATTCATATGCACAGCCATAGCCATCCATCACATATTGTGGTGTTAAAATACCATTTTCCACATAAAGATACCAGGGCTTCTTGGTTAAATGGCTGACTCCAGGTCTGGGGCAAAAAAATGTGAAAGATGAGCCTGGAACATCCTGTCAGTTAGGTAACAAGGAAACTATCAAAGTGTATATACTAGGTCATGTTAAAAGGACTCAAGAGCCAACTTAAAAGGCTCCCAATAGCCATAGATGGAAAATTCTGAACTTAAATAATAATTGCAGTGCATTGAAACCCACTAAATATGTTTAAGTCCATGCGTTCCTAATGATATTTTAATAAAATTAATTGATCACATTTGAGGGTCACCTTTGGGAGACAATTCATCTTGAAAATTGATAAATCAAGCATTTATCCTACGTTCTCTATATGAACTATATCCCCAGGTAACCAAATAGTAGATAAGGGGAAATGTCCTTTTATAAATGTATTATAAGTAATAAATAAAACAGAGATGATAAAATTAAAATACCACCATTTTGCAAACCCCAATGAAGTGATAGATCTAGTCATTAATCATCAATGGCTACTAACGTCACAAAAAGAGAGACATTCAGACTTATGTGTCTTCTGATGAAAGAAGACAATACTGCCTATAGTTTTGCCAAAGGGATTGAACCTCAGACTAATCCAGCCTCTGGATCCAGCTGCCAATTTGTACAAAATATAAAGGACAGAGAAACATGTTGAACTCCACTGTGAGTATGCAATCAACAAAATTCAGGCTGTTAGCAAGGGTCTGAGTTCTTCAACAGGCAAGTTGTAAGAAAAAGAAAGGAACAGAGGAAATTCCTGTAGTTTAAAAGAGAATTTAAAAACATATCAAACCTTATTTAAACAAAAAAGGCAAGACTAGTTTTGACAACTATACCAGTAGCGTAAGATTATAACATTAAAGAAAGCAGAAATTGGGTGAGGGCTATATGGGAATCCTGTACGATCTTTGCAAATTTTCTATAATTCTAAAATTACTCTAAAATAAAAAATTTATTTAAAAAAGAAAGGCTAGGAATGCTATAAAAAATGGTAATAATGATTGTTGGCAAGGACGTGGAGAAATTGTATCCCTCATATTCTGCTAGTGGGAATGTAAAATGATGCAGACACCTTGGAAAATGGTCTGGCAGTTCCTCATAAGATTAAACATAGAGTTGCCATATGGCCTACAATTCCAATTCCTAGGTATACACCCCAAACAAATGAAGACACATGTCCACGCTAAAACGTGCACACAAATGTTCCCAGCAGTATTATTCACAATAGCCAAAATGTGGAAACAATCAAAATGTCCATCAACTACTGAATGGGTAAATAAAATGTGGTATGTGCATAAAATGGGAATTACTAAGCCATAAAAAGAAAGGAAGTACTGACATATGCTACAACATGGATGAACCTTGAAAATAACATGTTAAGTGAGAGAAGTCAGTCCCAAAGGACAAGATATTTCATAATTCTATTATATGAAAAGTCCAGAATAGGCAAACTCATAGAGAATGAAAGTAAACTGGTAGTTACCTAGGCCTAGAGGGGTTGGGAGGAAATGGGGAGTGACGGCAAATGGGCATTAGGGTTTCTTTTTGGGATGATAAAAATGTTCTAAAGTTGATTATCGTGATGGCTGCACAACTCTGTGAATATACTAAAAACCGCTGAATTGTATACTTTGAGTGAATTGTACGGTACATGAATCATCTCTCAAAAAATCTGTCATGAAAAAAGGCAAGATTAAGTAGATGTATTTTTGGGTGATAAAACTATAAAGAAACGCAAGGAACTGGTTACTATAATAAAAATGAATATCACGGTTACTTTGGGGGGAAAGGAGGTGTTGTATTGGAATAGGACACACAGACAGTCTTCTAGAGTGGCCGGCAAACTTCTATTTTTTGATCTGGTGGTGGAGCTGTACATTTGTTGTGTGAGCTTTTCTTGTATCTGTTTTATAATCAAAAGATTTTTCTAAAAGACTCACCAGCAAATATATTTCAAACACAATGTAAAGCCTCATAGAATCCAAACTTAGCATGTACAAAGTACCAACTTTGGCTCTGTGGAGTACAAGAGATTATACCTGTCCTCAAGGAACTCATCTTTCAGCAAGAAGGATAAAAAAAGAGCTAGAGTAGACTAGGCCATATTAAATATTTACTGGCACAAAATTTACAGACAGTGTACAAGAGGGTTTAGAAGGGGATATGGGATTTGGGGGCAAAGGACAGGGATTAGGTGGTGCATCAGAAAAGGAATTTAAGCTACACTCTGAAAAGAGTAAAACTGGGACATAGAGAGAGCTTATGCAGGCTATATTCATTGAGCACTTAATATATTTTCGTCTTTTTCATTCATTAAATCATTTAACCCTCACAACAAACCTATAAAGCTGGTCCTATTATTATTTCCATCATACGGATAAAGTAACTGAGGCACAGACAGTCTGCGTAGGGCATCAGTGGGAAGCACAGTGGAAAAGGTAGTCTGGATTGACTCTGGGCAAATTAGTTTACCTTTCTGTGTCTGAGTGTCCACTTATTTAAAATGGGGATGATAATAACTCTCATTTCTTGTATTAAGTTGTACAACTTGGTCCCTTTGTGTTCTTCAGGGTTTGTTATTTATATATTAGATTGCTGTTTCATACAGTGTTTCTACTATTCCACAATAGAACGAGATCATGCTATGTTTTGAGGCATCTAGAACAGTACAGTTTAAAAATTATTATTGCCCATCTTTGCAAAGAGGGTGCCATATTCCAAGAATTAGGAAACTTGGCAGTTCCTATGATAAGACTGGCACAGTGAGGTAAATGATTTTAAAATCTTTGCAAAATGTAGAGGCTAAAGATAAGCAGAGGAGGCAACTCTACCAAGGGTGGGGCACAGCTTAAAGTGAGCATGGATACAGCCTGAGGGATGTCTACACAGGTCTCCTGGGGCTAGGGCAACATCAATAGCCAGCAGGGCAGGTGCCTACAGGGTCTCTCAGTTCTATTTAGAGGTGTCCCTTTCTTAGCCCCAACCCAGATACAAAAGACAGAGGGTGTCAGTAGTACGGGTAACAGACACACCAAGAGAAAAAGAAATAGCTAGGAAAGGCCAGGCAGGATCCCAAAATATACATACTTTCCGTAAGAGGTATCTTTTAATACTAATTCTGGAGCTCTATACCAGCGTGTGGCTACATAGTCTGTATAAATGTCTCCAGGAGCTGCTAGCGTTCGTGCAAAACCAAAATCACAGAGTTTAGTAATTCCTGACTGGGATACTAAAATATTCTCAGGTTTTATATCTCGATGAATGATCTAAAAAACAAACAGAAGATGCAATACATTAAAATAAGGTTTTGTTATCTAGAGAATGTCTCAAAAATTATACAGAGAAAATCTAGCTAATTAAGACAATAAAGCTATTTTCTGACTACATGCAAAGGATTAACTACACAATGCAAAAGCTAAATAGTTATATATGTTCAATTCTTACGCCATCCGTCACCTCGAAATGAAGTCAAGAAAACAGACTTAAAACTAAAAAGGTAGATCACATTCCTAAAAGGAAAAGTAATCAAAAGAACTTAATGAAAAACGTTTAACGTTCCTCTAATTCCCTGTCACGTGCCAGGTTCTGCCTTTTCTCTTTTTCCTTCACAGGTAAACCTCTTGACGACATTATCTTTTTGCAGTCTTTAGGTTCTGATCACTCAACCATCCATCAAGGTAATGTAATCTGTCCTCTCTTTCCATGTTCCATTAAACTGCTCTAGCCAAGGTCATCAACAACTTTGTTGTTGCTGTATCCAATAGACACTCCTCAATACATATCTTACTTGATATCTTAGCGTAAAAATGTTGCCAACCACTGCCCCATTCCTGACTTCTGGGACCTAAAATTCTCCCAGTCTCCTTCTATCTCTGTGGCAGTTCTTCTTTATCTGTCCCTTAAATGTAGGGTTCTGGTTTTATGCTTTCTCTTCTCCTACATCATGTTTCCCGGGCAATCTCATCTACTCTTTTTTTTTCCTTTTGACCACGTTCTTCACTTAGTTATGGGGACACCATACTCTCTTGGGCTTCTTCCCACCTATTGGCTGCTCCATCTCAACCTCATCTATCCTAATAGCTTTAGTAACTATCCATATACTGATGATTTCCAAATTTCTGTATCTAACCAAGATATCTCTCCTGGTTTCCAGAAGGAGTGGAAGCCCAGAAGAATTCCCACAAGGCTGACCCACACACCCTTCAAACCCAGTATATCCAAAATTAAATGCATCATCTTCTCCCCCAAACGTATTTGTTGTCAACAGTCTTTTAGCTCAGTGAGTGGAACTAACATTGACCCCATGGCTTAAGCCAGAAACCAAGGCATTTTTCTCCCTTAGTCCCTTACTCTCTTAACGTATCTACTTCTCTCTCTACTTTAAGTCCCCTCAGTTCACCACTAAATTACTATACTACCAACTGGTCTCCCTAAATTCACTCTGATCCCCTCCAATCCACTGTCCGCAATGAAGTCACAGTACTATTTTAAAATTACATGTGTGATCATGTCACTTCTCTGCTTAATATCCTTCAAGGATTCCCCATCCCACAGGACAAATTTGAAACTCCTTAAAATGGCTTGTAAGGCCTTGAAAGATTTGGCCCCTGCTCACCTTCTCAACCTCCCTTCCTTTCAATTTTTCGGGATTTTTCTCATCTCTGCATTTGCTGATGCTGTTCCAACTGCTTAGAACACTTTGCCTGGCCAACTATTTCCTCAGTTCTCAGCTTAGATGTTTGCATTAGATGTTCCTTCTATATGTTCTCACATCATTCTGCACTTCCCCCCCCCCCCAGTTTTTGTCATGCTATATTATTAATTGCCTGTTACAGTCTGTAACTCCCACCAGACTGTAAGCTCCATGAGGGCAAGATGTATGTATGTCCTGTTCAAGCTACATCCCCCAGTGCCCACTACAGTGCCTAAAACAAAGAAGGCATATAAAAACTTTATCAAATGAATGAAGCATATTCTCATCACCAGCAAATTATCATAGTACAGCGAAAATATCTCAGTGACAGAAACCTGGGATCTTTCCTTGTTTATACAACTTACTGTTATAAGTCTTTGGGATTGGCTCTTGCCTCAGTCTCTCTCCATAAATCGCCAAAAAATTAACCTAGGGTAATGAGCCACCTTGAAGATACCATCTAGAAAGCTGTATTAGTTCTTTTTTACTTCCACAACTTTTATTGAGTGACTAGTATATGCCAGACATTATGCCTAGATCTGAGGATTTAACATGAGCAAAAATTGACATGGAAAAGCACATTAAGGTACCACTTCACACATTCTGCCCACCACACATCTATTGCCCTCCTCCTCAGTGTTCTAAACACGTGGCAGAAAGATCACCCAGTTGATACCTTAATATTCTCACTCTTTTCAACGAATAACCCCATGACTACATGTGGAATTTTGTTATCCTTGAGAACAAAGTACTCTCTGAATCCCACCTTTTAAAATTCTGTTTTGACAACACCCTCCTTGGTCTTCTACTATAACACTGAGACCTCCAAAAACACAGTATTTCTATTTGTTTAGGCCTTCTTTAATGTCTCTCATCAATGTTTAGTAGTTTTTGGTGTATAGGTCTTGTACATGTTTTGTCAGATTTTCCCTAAGAATTTTTGATGCTGTTGTAATGCTATTGTTAATTTTAATTTCTGATTACCTGTTGCTAATATATAGAAATACAGTTAATTTTGGTATGTTGATCTTGTATCCTGCAACTCTGATAAACTTGCAAATTAGTTCTGCACACTTTGTGATAGATTCCATAGATTTTCTACATAGATGACCTGCCATTTGTGAATAAAAACAGTTTTACTTCTCCGAAAAAAAAAAATCTGGGGCTGTCCCGGTGGCATAGTGGTTGAGTTTGTGCGCTCTGCTTTGGCTGCCCAGGGCTCGCAGGTTCGATCCCTGGCATGGACTTATACACTGCTCATCAAACCAGGCTGTGGTGGCATCCCATATATACAAAATGGAGGAGGACTGGCACAGTTGTTAGCTCAGGGACAATCTTCCTCAAGCAACAAAGGGGAAGATTGGCAACAGATGTTAGCTCAGGGCCAATCCTCCTCACTGAAAAAAAAATCCACTTCACACTCACTAGAATAGCTACAATCAAAAAGACAATAACAGGGGAGGATGTGGAAAAACTGGAATACACTGTTGGTGGGAATGTAAATAAAATGATATAGCCACTTTGTAAAACAGTTTGGCACACTCCTGGTAGCTTTGTAAACCAAGAGCCCCCCAAATCTTGGTGAAAACCAGTGGCCTAGCAGCCTAGGCAGGGAGTAGAACAGGGCTGTTTCTTCTCCAAAGCCTCATTCCCAGACAACTGTCATCATTTGACCTGTCCAGCAGGTCACTGGAAAATCCTACTAGAAGGCTTGTCTTTATTTGACCTAACTCAGAGCTGGCCCAATGCAAACAGCCCTTCTCCTGGGGCCTTTGTCAGAAATAATTAGCAGCTACTGGATAACATTATAGCCACCTGAGGCAGCTATAACTGCACAAACAACAAGCTGACCAAAATACTTAAAAAGAAAGGCTGGGAGTGAGATGTCCATGAAGGGTGTGAAAAGCTCCAACATATTCCTAAGAATCAAGAAGGCCACATGCAGAGCTGTGCACACGCCCAGGAAAGACCTGAGATGATCCTAAGCTCTCACTTCTGGCTGACTTTGAGGCTCTGCACAAGCAGGAAGGTAAGGCTAAGGCAGAGTTGTAAACTGCCTGCTTGAGCGTCAAAGGCATGTCCCAACACACAGAGAGAGCTCCTCGGTAAATACGGCTGAGAGATTTATTAGTTTCAGGCATTTAAGGAAATCTCTGTCCAGTCATTAGCGAACCCCTAAACTAACCGAGCAGAGATTTCAGTGGTCACACATGATGAAGAATACAGACTTCACAGAATTAGTTGAGAAAAGTAACTAAACAAATGGGCATGACAACAAACAGCAACAACAACAAACCCTGAGAGATGGGAAACTCTGATTTCCAGAGTCGCCCAATTATGTTATTTTAAATGTGCAGTTTTCAACAAAAAAATTACAAATTCCAAAAAATTTCCAAAACAAAAAGATATGTGAACAAACAAGTATGGCTCATACACAGGAAAGAAAAGCAGTCAACGAGAAACATTGAACTTGCTAGACAAAGACTATAATCAGCTATTTTAAATATGTTCAAAGCTAACAGAAACCATGTCTAAAGAACTAAAGAAACACTTTTTTGCAAATATTTAATAAGATACACAAATATTAATAAGATATACAAACATGAATTTGCCTGTTCTGGACATTTCATTTAAATGAAACTTATACTAAGCGGTCTTTTACGTCTTTTTTCACTTAACGTTTTCAAGGTTCATCCATGTTGTAGCATGTATCAGGACTTCACTCCATTTTGTGGCTAAATAAATGCCATTATATGGATATACCTCATTTTGTTTATCCATTCATCAGCTGATATACCATTTGAGTTGTTTCCACTTTTTGGCTATCATGAATAATGCTGCTATGAACATTCCTGTGCAGGCTTTTAAGTGAACATACGCTTCCAATTCTCTTGGATAGATATGTAGGAGTAGAATTGCTGGGTCATATGGTAATTCTATGTTTAACTTTTTGAGGAACTGCCAAACTGCTTTCCATAGCAGCTGCACCATTTTACATTACCACCAGCAGAGAGGTTTTCCATTTCTCTATTTTCTCGCCAACATTCATTATTGTCTGTTTTTAAAATTACAGCCAGCCTAGTGGGTGTGAAGCAGCATCTCATCGTGATTTTGATTTACATTTCCATAATGACTGATGATATTGAGCATCATTTCATGTACTATCAGCCATTTGTATATCTTCTTTGGAGAAATGTCTACTCAAGCCCTTTGCCCATTTTTAAATGGGATTGTCTTTTTATTGTTGGCTTGTATTTTATAGATCCCAGATACTTGATGCTTATCAGATATGATTTGCAAATATTTTCTCCCATTCTGTGAATTGTCTTTTTACTTTTAGTGTCCTTTGATGCACAAAAGTTTTTTAATTTTGATGAAGTCCAATTTGTCTATATTTTCTTTGATTGGTTTTGCTTGTAGTGCCATACCTAAAGAACTATTGCATAATACATGGTCACACAGGTTTTCACCTATGCTTTTTTCTAAGAGTTTTACAGTTTTCGCTCTTACATATAGGTCTTTGATCCATTTTGAGATAATTTTTATATATAGTGTAAACTATCAGACTTTGGATTCAAACAATGAGTTTGATTCTCCTTTACTTTATAGTGGAATGCTTCAGAACTACGTAAAACTCCATATTACAATCTGATTTACAATACCTCTGCTCTATATAGCCCTATTTGCTTGAATTTAAACACCCATCTAAGACAGTTCGATTTCCATACCCTCTATAACAGCCTCAGGGAGCTTAGTTCTAAATCACCCAGAGCTTCAGATTAATTAATTTTCCAGTCAAATTTTATACAATTAATTGCTAATGCATATAAAAAATGAGCCAAAAGCTTCCAGAAGGAGACTGAATAAGGATGTCTGAGGTAGACTGCAAGACTGGGAATTTCCTATATGCCCTAGAAGCCAAATGGAAAGTGCAGTCCTTGACTGTTTTCTGATTTTAATAAATCACTGGAAAAGACACATTAGGAACAACTGGGTAAATTTTAATATAAATTTGGTATTGGATGTTATTAAGGAATTGTTAATCGTGCAGATGTAGAAATGATTCTGAAGTTAAATAGGAAAATGTGCTTTCTTAAAGACATACATAGTATTTAGAGATAAAATGTCAGGTTTATAATTTACTTTAAAATACTTCAGAAAACAAAACAGATGAAGCACATATAGCAAAAAATTAACAATATATTAAGTAACATTAAAATGTTAACAATAATATTATTCAAGGAATTTCAAATAATTCCTTGTTTGGAAAACTATGAATTTAAAAGCCAAAAGTAGAGTTATGCAAAATATGCAAAAAATAGGCAGAAGTGGCCTAAATTTAGGGAAGCAAGGCTTTGTGGAGTAGGAGGTGGGGTTGGGGCCTAGGAAGATTGACAGTCCTTAGGTATTAATCAGAATTACTCAGAATTCATAAAGTTTACCGAAAACTGGATAAAATTTAACAAGCTCCATAACGGTAGGAACCAAGTCTTTTATTCAAGGCTGCACCCTCAGCACCTACTAGAATCAATATTTGCTACTGGAGGATGCTCAATAAACATTTGTTGAATAAATGAATGAGGGAATAACCATTTCTCCCCCATAAGTGGCCAAATATTTGCATTTAGACTCTGACTGCTTCCAAAATGGTTTTGAAGAGGCTTATAATATTAACCAGATCAAAATTTTAAAATTAAAAAAAAAAACAGAAAGAAAAGATAAACTAGATTCCTATAATTAGTTACTGCTAGTGAACATTAAATTTTTATCTGAGCTGCCTAGAAGCCAATATAAAAAAGTAAATATATTTTCATTATTAAACAAAAGAAGGTAAACAAATACTTCTGGAGATAAAAAGCTTTTTCTGGTACTGAACTGTATTTGACTTCATGAATTCTTATTAAAAGGAACATGGGATATCACGGTAGACCGTATCGCAGACATTTCAGTTGTATAAAAACCCAGTCATCTGAAATTTGGAGATATTAGGAAAATAAAGTTCTCCTTTCTTGATTTTTGGCAACATGAAGATAACCTTAAATCATCAAGGCCAGAACCCAGATACCCAGATAATAAGTATAATAAGATTCTAATGAGCCACTTCATTCACAGTTGCTTTAATTCTCCAAGGTAACTAACTTTAAAACACTCTTTGGGGTGAGGGACGGGGATAATTTTACTCCAGGTCCCAGATAAGACCAAGAGAATAAAAGAATGCAGGTGCTCCTGTCTAGGCCTCTTTCTCTGCTGCCCCTGACAGCCCCACGGATATTCTTCCAGACTTGGTGCTGCAAACTACCTTTTACTTTTCTCTCTGTCCCCTGGAGAGTGATCCATCCTTACCTCTTCAACCATGGTCTACCAGGAAGGTTTCAAAATCCGTATATCCAGTTCTGACAACTGCCTAAGACCATGTTAGGTAATTGGTTAACCACTATTTTTACTTAAAAATTTCCACTGTCCCTTAAAATATATCAATATATCTAAAAGCAATTCCCTCTTCTAAACTCAAGTTACTGCTGACACCATAATTATCCTGCTCTCAAATTTAAAATCTTGTAATTATCTTTGATTTCTCCTTGTTTGCATCCATCACATATCTACTTGTTTCTCAAATCCTGTCATTTCTCTTTTGCAGTCTTTCCATCCTCTCCCCTTGCCATCCTTCCCTCCTTACCATTGCCACTATCCTAGTGCAAGCCCTTACCACTTCATATCTGGACTGTCACAGCAGCCTCTCACCTGATGTCTCTGTCTCTATCCATACTTGTTCCCTACTCTTGCCAAAATTAAGCTTAGGTTTTGTTTTTATCCTGTTATAGCAAAGCTCAAAAACCTCCCATGGTTTCCCAGCGTCCTCAGGAAAAAGTCCAACCTCCTCAGGATGAATTTCAAGGCTCTGGAAAACCTCTCCCCAGGGGCACCTGTGCAGTCTGATCTCCCTTTGCCTGGTCTCTGTAAAATGACTATCACCACTCTCAACTCCCCTACTCAGGGCTCCCTCTATTCTCACAGTGGTACCCCATCTGGATGTATTTCCTCTTCCCATGAAATCCCAGCTACAGTTCAAAATTCTACTTACTTTAGTTTCACCTCCTCTTTGAAGTCTTCTACTCTCAGTCTAGCCCATACTAGTGTCTCTCTTTATTCCAAAAACATTTTTAAAGTCTACTATAGACAAGGCACAATAAGGATACAGTTAACACAACTATTCCTGACTCCCTACCAGGACTATTTATTGAGCACTTAAAATGTGTGTGACACAGTGCTAAATATTTTATACCTACTCCTAATTTGATCTTTACAAAATACCTGTGAGGTACTATAGTATCACTTTACAGATGAGAAAAACAAGGCTCAGAGAGGTTAGATAACTTTCCTGGGGCCACAGAGTAATGGGGCTACCATCTCTCATTGTGCAAGTTATAAACTACACAAATTGTGTGGTTATACATAAATAAGCTGGTGGGTGAAAACCCAGGATAGTCTGATTTCAAAGACTGCGTGCTCTCAACTGTTACATTATGCTGCCTCCCCATGGGTCCAGCTGGCAAGGAAATCACAATCTGAATTCCAGTTGCTATTACAACCACATTTTTCAAAGCTGCAAAATAAGATGCACCATTAGCAAGACAGAAGATTAGAAATTAAGATATCTGAGAAAGCCTGGGATATATAGACGTTATGTCTATATAAATTACTAATAAAACTATTTTCGAGGCTTTTACTGTTATTTCCTGAATATATACCTAACTTTCTAGAAAGTAGAGCTCATGCTGGGAACAAAATATCTCCATAAAAACCTGCTGAGCTAAACACTTCCTAAGCAATGCTGAAGGCAACACTTTTTAGTGTTTAGTGTCAGAACAGTCGATCTTCTTTCTTTTCTTGATTTTTCATAAGTTAAATGACAAGACGCTACACCTCTCAGCCATTTTATTTCTCCTTTCTTTCCCTAAAGGCATCCACATTCACTTGCCATTCCCCTGGCCTAGTTTCCAGTTCCTACCTCCAAATCTCCTTTCGTTTCAGCTAGCCTGACTGTCAATATTTTAATGTACTGTCTCTAATAAAAGCTGCCCCAGTTGACTGTTGATTCCTACATACCAAATTACTGACATCTCTGATCTCTTCTTTAGCATCCCATACTTGGTCTGCCCTATAGTTATAATTATTGTGTGCTCAATATGTTTTTTGGTTCTGCAACTAAATTGTAAGGTAGTGACACTATTTTCAGGATGTCAATTAATACTGTACAGAAAAATAATTTTAGAATACTGTTTAAGTAGCACTTACAAATCACATACATCCTATAGTTTGGCTTACTCTGAAGCACTTACATTATTATCGTGAAGATATTCAATCGCTCGGAGGATCTGGAAGAGGTATTTTCTAAGTCGTTTACTCTCTAGTCCATGACAATAATGTTGTAACTCATCTAATACTGTGTGGTCAATAAATTCAAACACCAAATGAATTTTCTTTTTCTGTCTAAAAACTTCAATCAGATTGACCAGGTTTTCATGACGAAATTGCTATTGACAAAAGAAATGGATTTTTAACAAATTATTTCATGCACAATATTTGTACATGTAACACCTACATAATTTTTTTTAAAAAGCAGAAATATTCTCAGCTTCTTTTCCTCCATACATTTCAAAAGAAATTTCTCAACTAATTTGCTTACATTCCTATTTTAATAAAATGTTACTCTTTCATAATTAATATTTATAGAACAAAGGGAGATGTACTACTTTACTTCAAATTGGCATGTGTTTGCTTATTAAAATAATTTAGAATTAATGTACTATGACACAATTTGGTATGCCGCTAAGAGATATCTTCCTATCCTTTAACTTGGTTTGTGGCTAAATTTGAAAGGTCCTTATATTTTCAAATGAGCCTGGATTTCAACGCCACTGAGTATGTGATCTGAATTTATAGAAATTACTTATTCTCTGAGTTTGGTCCTAAACTCTAGAGAGTAAAACATAAGTTCCAGGCAGACATTATAAATTCATTACATTGTAACAAAAGAGTATAAAAATATCTAGAAACTTTTCAGATATGTGAAATATCAGTTTATAGCTATAGGAACTTTACATAAATATACAATTATTTGTGGGTACTTTTTTCTTCATTGTCTGTAATATTGTATTAAGCAGCAAAACACATTTTTAGAGTGGTAACAATCATTGTTAAAATACTTTCAAAATGTCACAAATGGCATGTATCAGCTTAGAAAACAAATGAGGTTGAAAATTTTATGCTGTTTATTCTATTTTTGAACACAGTGACTTAATTACAACTGAGTCTCAAATATTTAACTTTTTCAAATTATCAAAAATACTTATTCATTTGGCTAAAAATTAAGGAGTATATTTTCAATGTTGGATTCATTAGAAAACTATACTTTTATGAAAAAACATTTGCCTTTATTCCAACGGTACAATATCAATTTTTCTACTTATCTGTACTAATACATAGACCAAAATCCTTAAAACACGACTAATAGAAAAACATGCCAAAATACAATGCCAGATGCCTTTCCTATTTTTGCTCCCAATTTCCCTGGTTGGCAAGATGCCAGAGTGCTGCAGTGACAACATGCTGGCAGTAGTACAAAGAGCTGATTGCTTTTGGAAACTACAAGATTAATCCTTCAACTAAGGAAAATTACTGGTTTCCTGTTCAATCTTTATTTTAAAGGCAAAAGCAGAGAAGAGTTATATTAGTTACTAAGCATTAGGGAAGATCCACGCAGGGGCAAGGAACCAGGTACTTCCTCAGATAAACCATGAAATCCCTAGAAATGCTTCATTACTCCTTTTCAAGTTGTTTACTTTTGTTTTCCTTCATTACTAGACAATTTTTATACAGATATTCTCACTAATTACTCTAACTGTAATTTATTTAATGAAATTCTAGCAGATAAAAATTTAGTTCAAGTCAAGTCATTATGGCAATCTTTTTAGACTAAGAATCAACTAATCCAAGAAATGCCTCTTGTGAAATCAGATTAGATCAAACTAAAAATTCTATAAGAAATAAATCAATGAGAATAAATAGTTAAGGTGTCTCAAAATAGTCTGCATAATAGTTGTAATAGTAAAGTACATTTTCAAATTCATTTCTGTGTTCTTGCCACATATTGCTTATTTTTACAAAACGATTATGTAGAAAAAAATAATCAGCTTAAACACAACATAGTTGAAGAAAACGCAAAAGATAGTGCCTGGGAAAAGGTCTCCTTCTAATCAGATTTTCACTTACGGTGCACAACAGTTGCCTTACAGTATTATTATGTTTTAGGTGATCAGAATAAGGACTGTTATCTCTCACAAAATCATAACATCTTTACTGCCTTCAACTTTCCTTTTGTGTAGATACAGAGTATTTCCAACAATCCACAGATGCCTACTATTTCCTCTATTTAGAAAGCAGATTGATCCATCATGTCTAATATAGACTTATAAAGAAAGAATATTACTTTTGTATCAGATAAAAATGAACAAGAAGAGTATCTTTCTTCACCACATAAAACATCTAGACTACCCTGTCAAAGTCATAAACCTTAAAGCATCTAGATAAATTCCAATAAAAGACATATAGGTACTTAAGTATTTTTTAAATCACTTGTTTTGTACCCAATCCTCAAGGAATGTTAACACTCTTTTCTTCACACTTGTGAGTTCTTTCCCCTGGGTTGACCTGTCATACCTTCTCAAAATTCTATCTCTCCTGATATTGTTCCCCATCTCTAAAAGCCTACTGGTCATCTTTACTTAACTGTACTCCTGTCACCTCAAGTTCAACATTTCTAAAACTGAACTGGTTCCCAAACCACGTCTCTTTTGGGTCTCTCATGTTTCCATCAATGAGAGCAGTCTCTGAACCTCAAAGATCCCTTTGACTCCTCCCTTTCTATTTCTTTCTACACTCTTTCATGTCTTGTTTTGCAATACATTATGTTCTAACCTTATTTTCCATTCAAATTGCTGCATTCCAGCAAGGGCCCTCATGACATTTACCAGGATTCTTGAATTAAACTCATAACAGACATCTTTTTACTCTCTCAGTCCTCCAATCTATTCTAAAAAATAGAGCCAGATTAATATTTATAGAGTTTCTGCACTCTGAATTCAAAACCTTCCACCCTTTACAAAATCAAGTTTTGACTCCTTAGCCTAAAAGACAAGACTTTAAAACGTAGCTACAATTTACTCCTCTAATCAGACTTCTTTCTATTTCTGTATAGGAAACTCTACAGGCAGGGCTGGCCCAGTGGTGCAGCGGTTAAGTTTGCACGTTTCACTTTGGCAGCCCGGGGTTTACTGGTTTGGATCCTGGGCGTGGACCTACGCACCACTGGTCAAGCCATGCTGTGGCAGGCGTCCCACATAAAATAGAGGAAGATAGGCATAGATGTTAGCTCAGGGCCAGTCTTCCTCAGCAAAAAGAGGAACGTTGGTGGCAGATGTTAGCTCAGGGCTAATCTTCCTCAAAAAAGAAAAGAAAAGAAAAGAAACTCTACAGGCAAATGTCTCTGCTCTGTCCTTTGTCCTGCTTTAGCCTCTCTGAGCTTATGCTGTTCCCCTAACCTAGAACACAACAGTTTTTCCCTCTTATCTAAATTCTACACATCCTTTAAGGCCAAATTCATGTCCCATTTCCTCCAAGAAACCTTCCCTACCCAACAGGACTTTGTGTTAATCACTTGGCATTGATTATGAGCCACTTTTCATTCAGTATTATTTTTATATGCCCTCCTGTCTTTCTGATTAAATAATAAATGTCATGAAGAGCAAGTACTGTGTTTTACCCCATTACAGTCTCAGCATTGGGCATAATGCCTTGCAGAAAGCAGACATTTATATTAAGTATTATACGTAGGTGGATATTTCTGAATAATTATTTTGCAGTATTTAGCATAGCTCTTGTTACATTATCCATAAGCACATATATCTTCTATTCACTATAAAATTACAAAACGTAGACAGTAAGGTAGAATATCACATTTGTTTTTCAATTACATGCCTTAATACATGTGTTAACTGAAATATTCCCTATGTAATTCTTTTATTCCATAACAATTTCTCTTTTGACTTACAGAGAGCAATTAAGGCAAAAGAAGCAAACCTTCAGAAACTTTATTTCTCTTGTTGCAATTTTGTTGACAGATTTTTCCGGTTTCTCATAAAATATCTTAATGGCCACTATCTGCCCAGTTTCCTTATGTTTACACTTCATAACTGTTCCATAACTTCCCTCTCCCACTTTTCCAAGGCTTTCATACATCTCCATTTTCAAGCCCAGCTTCTTCTTCATAGAAATAAAGAAAAAATGTTAAATTTTATACTCTTATTTATTCAAGCTGGATAATGCATTTCCACAATAAATTCCTTCTTTAAAATATAGACACATAGAAAAAATAGGAATCTTTTCACAGACCCTGACAGTCTTTGGGAATTCTTGTGGAGTCCAGCCCGCACCAAAACTTGGGGAGCCCCCTGCTGTCTCGGTCATTCCATCACCACTAAGATTTACGATTCCCTCACTACATGTCACCAATCCTTCACGGGTGGGGTCCCCACACTTCCCGTCACGTCCCCATCAAATATGCTGTTCCCGCAATGCTGCGGTTGCCCACAGACCACGCCCCAGGACCAAAGAAAACCTCGGTCCCCCCCTCCTCAAACCACACGTCTCAGTGTCCCGGACCAGTGGCGCGCCCCTTGCCCCGCAGTCGGCCTCGTCTAGGCAGACGCCGCCGCCTCAGCCCATGCTGTAGTCACTGCGGCCCGGCTCCGCGCAGTCCCAGTCCGGTAACAGGACGCAGATCCTATTTAGCCCGTGGTCCCGGCTAGCGGCCGGCAGCCCGCTACCATGGCAACGGGGCCGCGGGCCTTGCGCTTGGGGCCTAGAGCGCAAGACCGGAACATGGACGCGGCCGGGCGACCCGGAAGGGAAAATGAGAAGCTGCGACAATGAGTTCCCGGCGGGCGCTAGGGGGAAACTGGCATGGGGGGGGGTGGAGGAGTACGGGGCGCTGTCGATCAACTTAAGGCCTCCTCACAAGGTTGGCCTTGAGCCGAGACAGGGGAGGATCCGCGTTTTGACGGCAACGTGAGTGACTGCTTATTCTCTAGGGTAGGGGAACCGAGCAGCGGCTTGTCCCAGCTGCGTCGCGGACGCTTCCAGGCCAGAGAACACCTGCCGCTTGGGGAGGGGGGAGGGGGAAATCCCAAAAGGACGGCTGGTGTCATTAAGCAGAGTTGTAAAAAAGAGATTTCCGAGGAAGTCTTGTGTAATTATAGTTTTCTAAGCTACCTAGTTATGTTAATATTCCATAGACCATAGAGTTCGACCTCAGCTTTCGACATTCATCCTTAAAACGGGGAGAAGATGGTTCTTAAATCAAGAACATTCCTTGAATACGTGCTATGTCCTTTTAAATTTTTTCAAATTTATGGTAATCCTTCTTTTTAAAAACTCCCTTATTACCTGTCAAAACTCTAAAACTCCCTCTTTGGGAAAGCAAATAATTCAAAGGGTTCTACCACACGGATTGACATACAAGGGCATAGAAGGCCAAAAAAAGAAAAAAGGCCGTTACCTAATTGCATAAGAACTAGACATGGGGTTCTGCTGGCTGACAGCCTCTAATGAATAACAAGGATATCAATGGAGCAGTGCCCAAGAGTGCTCTTTCTTAGGGGTTTCATTTCTCTTTCCTATAAAATAAGTTAAATGTAAAAGGCCAAATCTCACTCTCATTCCCCTAAATAAGAGAAAGCATCATTATTATCCAATAAATTCTAGTCCAGTTGGTCACACCCCACCATTCACATTAAGATCACACCTGGAGAACTTTTAAAAAGGCCCCACCTTCAAAGATCCTAATTTAAATGAGGTAGGGTAAAGGAATTGGTATTTTAAAAGCTTCCCAAGTGTTTCTATGCTGCTAAGGTTTATACTGAGAAAGAACTGGGAGAGGAAGGAGAGGTGGTCATGGTTTTTATCACCACTAAAATATTCCAAATTGCCATTTCTTTTGAAAAGTTATTCAACCATCTTACAAAATACTTTCTGTGAATAAGAATGTCGTGGTAAATCTTATAGTGGGCCCAGACTTGCTATAAGCATACTAATTATTTTTTGTGGGCTAAATGTTTGCAAGAGACAAAGCATGAATCAGCCTCTGCCATCAGTGAGCTCACAATCCAGAGCTACAGCATCACTAGAGTATAAAATTATAGCTTTAAAACTATTCTTTCTACAAATAGGTTACGGCAGGGCTGCTAACCTGGACAGTCAATGATTTCTGCTTATACACTGCTCTAAGACTTTAATGAAACACCTTCACTGATTTTGTTGAAAGTGTTACTTCATTTTGGAAAACCATAAACTGTGGGTTTCCAAAACAAGTATAAATTGCTAGTCAAATGACATAACAGGGATTTAAAGAAAAAAAGTTTCTCTTTAGGATTTCACTGCATGTAACCCCTACTGGTGTGTCTTCATCCTTAGCTATGGGGAGGATTAGGATTTCTACGGCGGGAAGGCAAAAAAATAACATTCAGCTTTTGCCTTAGAGAATCACATTTGTGAATGCAGAGCAAGACTTATCAAGAGTTAGGCCTAACTTGATCACCAAGGCAGCTACTAAAAGCAAGAGACAGAACTCAGGGTTTGAAGAAATGGAGGTGTGAGGAAAGTTAGCCCTTTCTGGTTCCATGGGACTATGGGCAACTTGGGGCAATGCTAAGGTCCTTATTTCATCCTCCTATTCGACCTTGGGCTGAAGAATTACCCAAAGGGATATGAAAGAGCTCAGAGTCCTACTGACCAACCAAGACCTGAAGCCAGGAATTGGAGGCAACAGAGGGAAGGAAATGTCAGAATCCCCAGGGGTCAATACCTCTGAGACCCCTGGTGGGGAGCATTTCATGCCCATTTGCACCTTACTTACTAGTGTAGAAATCCTGAAATGAGTTATCCAGGCTAGATAAATAAACTCTACCCGTCTGCCTGATCTCCCCCACAGATTTGAATCGCATTTTTAGGTTTCTTTGACAACCACCCACCCATCCACATGCTCTCTTGAGATCTCATCCCGACATTTCTTGATAAATACAGCGATACATCATCCTAGCCAAATTCATGACCTGTTCCACAAACCGTCAAATGAGAGCAGACCCATAAAGGAAAAACAAAATTCCGTGAATCAGTAGGGATTGTGAACAAACCTTGGACAATTTGTACACTGTTCTTCTATCTTTGCCCAGAATTTCCAACCCTGGAAACCCCAGGGTAATGCACATACAGGTTATTTGGTGGCTCTAAGGAAGAATTTCAGATTTTACTTTGTGTGGGCCTCAGCATTCAATACTGCACTTAGAAAAAGTTGAGGTCCCTTCCTGCTACCTTTCCCACGTACCAGGGTTGATAAGCCATTGAACCAATCAGAGGATTTTAAATCCAAATTATTTGGGGCTCCTTTTAAAGACAAGCAAAACAAGCTTTTGCTTCCGCCACACCTCTTCAATTGCCGTCCATGTTCATGGGACAAACTGGAGGGAAAACTAATAAAGATTTATCCCCACCCTCAGCCCAGTAAAATTAACTACCCATTTCATAGACCTGGCTGAGACTCAGACCCAAGCGACGCTCTCACGTGATCCGTTCTAATGGCGTCATAGGGACACGTGGTTCTAGATACTTCGTCCCCTCCCCCTCAGGGGTGGATTGTTGACAACGTCGCCGTCGGTCACGTGATCTTACGTCATCCCACCTCCTTTCGCTGAAATCTCTGGCCCCGGATGTGTCCCTCTCTCTCCACCCGGTCGAGTCTAAACTACTGAAAGGGGGAGAGACAGAGTGGTATTTCGGTTTCGCTGTCTCTTAATCCACAATCTCCAGTCTGATCACGGAGAACACTAATTTGTTGATTAGTTCAGGAAGACAAAATGAATAGGGTCCTGCTGAAAGGCTCCCATAACGAGCTCTCATACGGCCCACCCCCTCTTCCCCCACCCCTCACTCTGTGGTACCGGCGGAGGGCGGAGGGATCTGGAGGCGGCGGAGGGAGACGTCATTGCAGGGTTGTTTGTGCAACCTCGGCGGCGGCGGTGACCCACAGTGATTCGGCCGCCGCGCCGGGGGGTGGGGGGGCTGCGCGGGACTCTTTTCTTTCAGACTGACCGCGGGGCAGCTGCGGAGCATGTCGACCCCGGCCCGGAGGAGGCTCATGCGGGATTTCAAGCGGTAAGGGCCCTCTTCTTCGCCTGGATGACGGCTCCTCCCCAAAGCTGCGGGACAGCAGGGCGGGGATCCGGGACACCGTCCCCTGACCCTAAGAGCGCCGGCTGTGGGCCCAGCGGGACGGACGGAAGCCCAGTCCTGGCCCCTGGCCGCACTCCCTCATCCTTACTTGGTCACTCTTTCGACGTAAAAAATTTCGAGACCCCATTTCCCCCGCCCCCCCGAAAGTAAAAAGGTGGTTTTGGGCTGTCCTAGGATTCCCTGCTGCTCATTTGGACCAGCTGCTCGACGTCTCGCCCTAGAGCGCAAACCTCATCCCCCGCCTGTGCGCCTGCGGTGCCCCCTCCCGGTCCCGTAGGAGCGAGTTCTTGCAGAAGCGTTTTGCCCGCTTGCCGCACCAGTCAGCTTTGTTCGATGGCTTTGCGGTCTCTTCTGAGGGGCAGGATTGGGACGACCCCCCCGCCCCCCGCCGCAGTGAGGGTGGGGTCTGCAGTGCTAGGTCCGGAGGTGGTTAACCCATCCTCCGAAACCCGACTCTCCCCCGCCCGCCGGAAAGGACCTTGAGAACTGGCTTAGAGACCTGGGCCTCAGGCTGGCAACCCGGCTGCCAGTACCTTCTGGAATTTAGCTCGGTGGCCTGCTGTATAAAGCCCTAACTATAGCCTCCACGGTCTGGAAAAATGCCTTCCTTGAGACCGGCGCTAACTGATACTCCCTGGGCCTGCTTTTGTAAAACAGGGTTTTGTTAGGAGGTGGTGGGGTTAGTGAGGAGGAAGTGAGTTTTTTTAGGTTGTTTACCCTTGACTGAATACTTGGAAGTACGGAAGAAAGTGAGAAAACTTAGCAGTGCTATCCTTTGCACATTTTAAGTGTGTTTCTGGGGAGATCTGCCCTGATTGAGACAAAATGTCTGGTGTAAAAACTTACTATCAGCCGCTCAGGAAGTAACCTCTCAACTTCGCCATTATAAAGCCGAAGGTGAGGCGTTTGGAAGCCACTCTTTTGGGCTTTGGCCGATTTATCGTTAAATATATTTGTAACTTCTCTTAGCCGTTTGCCTTTGGTGGGCATCAGGCAGCATGATTCCTTTAAGGCTCTGTTCGTCGTGGCCTAATCTGGTTGAGGTTGACTACAAGAACAATTTTTATGTGGACTGATTTCATGATAGTCACTACGTGTATATCCCTATGTAGAATGTAGTGTTTATTTTTCCCTGAGATGACAGTCTTTTAAAGGAGATGGGTTTTTGGTGCAAACCTCGTGTTCTAAAGCTTAAAATCAGTAGACTTCAGATCAGCTTCCATGAGTGAAATTCAACTACTAAAACATCCAGTTTGTGTCTGTTTTTACCCTGGTTTCTTACTTGGTTTCTCTGTTTAATTCTGAGTTGGACACATGGCACCTCTGGTAGTTTTCCAAGGGTCTTCGGGTTACAAGAATTTGACTGTGGC